CGAAAAATAGCTAAAATGGGGGTTCGAGGCATTTTGGCGGTGGTGAGGCGGTGGAGCCGTGGCAGCGGCGAGGAGCGGGCCGGCGGCGACGGGAATTTTGGGGGTGAAATGGGTAGGAAAAGATAGGTCTCGTGGAGCTCTATCCATTCATGTATGTGTTGTAGGGTGGTGTTGGCCGGAGCTTCAAGAATTTGGACCAAAAAATGGCGGCTAAAGTTTCTTAGATCTAAAATTCAAAGAGTTTGAGGGTTTTTTGAAGGAATTAGTTTGGAGATATGGGAAGAGGAGGTTGTGGAGATTATATGATGTTAATTTGGAGGTGTTTGGAGGTGGTCCGCCGCCGGTGCAGAGAAGAGAGAGAAGAGAGAGAGAGAGAGAGAGAGAGAGAAGAAAGAAAGAGTTATGGGTGAAATGAGGGAACTTTTCAGATTTTTGAGGCTTTAAATACCTCTTGAGAGATCAAATATGGACCATTAGATCAATGGGTGAGATTTGATCTTGGGTCACTTAATGAAACGACGTAGTTTTGAGGCAAAACTAGTCGTTCCGGACTCTTTCAAAGGCAGCCCCTTATCTTGCACTTTTGGCCACTTTCTCTTTCAAATTTGGCCCAATTTCTTTCTTAATCCTACTTATTAAACTAAATTTCCACAAACAAATAAATTAATTAAGTAACTTATTCAAATGATCAATTAACTAGATTAATTCACCAATTGAATAGTTAGTTAATTCCTAAAATGCACAAATAAAGAAAGAACTATTTTTTGGTATTTTTATGATAGGAAATATGCAATCAAAGACACAAAAATTGGAAAATATAATTAAAGCAACAAAACACTAATGACTTTAGGAGGTGTTAAAATAGTACAAAAATTAGGTATTCACAAAACATATAGATTTGACTCTTGTTATTTGGGCTTAACTAGGTCTAGAAGTGAAACTAACAGCGCTCACCGGCTGATCCCTCACGATCAAGCTAAGAACTTCAGGTCTTGCATCGCGCCCAACCACATCAAAATCAAACTTGGCTCGAGTTATTTCTCCAAGATCTGTTCAAACTGATAGTTAATAAAGGCTGGAGTATGATAATATGTGTGCTAGTGAGTGGCGACAAAGAGCTTCTTAAGAGCAGGAGTAGGGGGAGAAATGGAATATATAATAATGCATGTAAAAAGATTATGAAGTAGGCTCGACCACTTGGGCTGGGGCACCCCTCCGAAGTGCAATGGAGGTCACTTACCTCGACTACGGGCCTTCTTGATCACCCATCGACCCCATCCAAGAAAATATGTTTATATAATAATGCAAGTCAATCACGCGTGAGTCATGTTGAATGAATTCAACCACGGATACACATAGATACAGGTGTGTAAAAGTAATCTGTACAGGTACATGCAGTTTGGTAATTTTTAGCGTGCTTTAAAGAATCCATACAAAGTATAAACAAACATGTCACACCTGTTCAATACAGGTATGTTAATGTCAAGACAAATGAAATTTTTTTATTTTCATTTATCGTTTTGAATATGGAAACCGGAGTATAATTGCAGTCATCTGCACTTGGTTGTCCGAGTAAATATACATAGAAAGAGTACCAAATGCAGATTACACATCCTGTCTGACGTAGACCAAGCTTTAGAGACCACAAAATAGTCAAATTGACAGGATTAATTAGAGTGATCATCATAAAGATATTGTTGCAAGAGCTCAGAGATCTAAATGCACAACAAGAAGCAATGTGTCGGGGCATAACCATTATGCATACTGGGGCATACACATGTATATCTAAGATACATTTACCTCATAGTCTCACAATGAAGAAACATTTCATCCACAACCAATGTTATTAAGCAGAGAAACTCGTGAGAAGCATATACATGCTACGTGGAGAAGTAAGCTGGCATAGGCTTGGTGACAAGTAAAACAAACACCAATCCTGTTTTCATTCTTCACTTCTTTTTTCCAGGACGAGAAGACTTCTTTTTTGTTTTCCTTTTTTCTACTTTAACAAAGGATCTGAGCAAATCACTTTTCAACAGCTGATGTGTGACAATTCCATGCGTGGCACATAATTTCAATTAGAGAATGCAAAATAAGACAGCTCACTAACGTACCTAGATTAGCAAAGACAAATCCCTCCATTCCATTGAGTGGTCCGGCCAGCACATCCCCTGATGGCGATATAATTACACTACCACCATCACAAACAATGGAATCCGGTGTAAGATCTTCTTCTGTGCCGGAAAAAACATATTCTGATGCAGGTGGATAATCTTTCCTCCGACAACACTGATGGGCCGATAAAACAAAGCAACCACCCTCCAATGCAATGTGCGTCATAGATGCCAGCCACACATTCCTATCATCAGCTGTCGGTGCACAATATATTTCAATGCCTGTCAACACAAAAGAGCTTAGAAATTCTGTGGAAGTTCAATTAGGAGCATATTCATTTCAAGAAATGAAGTAATTTATGAATAAAATGTACCAAGAGGGTACTCTAGAAAGTACAAAAGTTCAAGACTTTTTCTTCACTACATATCAAGAGAGTCTAACAAGTCCATAATTTCTGTCAAGTTGATTACAAAATTTCCTAACGCCAGAAATACAGATTTTGTATACATCTATGTTTTACAAAAGAAACAAGCTCTTTTTTCCCTTCAGCTGACTGTAGCTTCTGCAAAAGGAGACCTACTTTTCAATTTCCCAATCATTAAAGTTCCTTGTAAACTTAACACTTCATCCAAATCTGGAGATGGTCTTTATTTAAAACCACAGTAAACAGATTTGGGAACTGATCTTTCAGCAACCCTTCATCTGAACACTTGTCAGTCCACAACTTAATCTTTCTATCATTGCCCAATTTTAACCTGATATTGTTCTTAAAATCACCACAAATATTCCTATATGAACATCCACTAGCAGTTCTGGGACATCTCATGTAAAATCCATTTCTCAAACAAGTGTTATACAACAGTGATATAAACCAAATAATCACATTCCCAGTAATGCTATTTAAAATACAACTCCTCACCCCCCCACCCCCACCCCGGGCCGCAAAAAGGTCAAGATTAGTGGCTCGATACATCTCGTAGTTACACTATTAATTATCAAACTTTCTATTCTTACTCAAGTTGAATCAAAAGGCCATATTTTTGTGACCGAGAATATCCACTATTTCAGCTTGGAAACTCTGAGGATAATGGGTCCATTCCTCTACCTTTCACTTAAATACCAAACTTGGTGCAACAACTAGGTTCCAAACTTGTGACGTGTACCTGCCACACATACCACACTGTACTACCTTATCCATTGAACCGAAGCCCAAAGGGCTCAAAACAGGTCATTAAATGAGGACAATCGTTCCAGAAGGCATATCTACAAAAGTTATGATGTATCATTCTACCTGTGGACAGAGATTGAAATCCAGCTTCATGAGCCAAAGCATAAGATAAGTATTTAGACATTAGAATAGAATTGCTTTACCACCCTACAATAGGTCTTGCAGAATTCCCCTATAATGTATCCAGTAATTCATAAGTTTGAAGACATTATAATCAGAAATTACTGCAGCATGAATAAGCACAGTGAATTATGGATGAAAATTTATGCCAGAACTCTATTACAAGAAGCTGCATCGATATCTGATCACACCAGAACTTCGAAGCCATACGGGTTCATTACTTTAATAGCACCAAAGGAAGCAACCGCTTTCATAGATAAATTTTATCACCAAATGCAAGGAACTTAAAGACAACACAGAGAAAGGATAGGTTATTCCCAATTCAAAGTGTCCCTAAATGCTATGATACTCGAAGTTGTAGGAACAGAAGAACCTAAGAGACTAGCAGCAAATGTCAGACCTTTAGCAAACATCGCGGTCCTTAGAAGTGGCATTCTGTTCTCCCAACATATTGCAGCACCTATTTTTCCAAGTGGAGTGTCATAAACTGGAATTGTTGATCCATCCCCAGAACCCCAGATAACTCGCTCCAATCCCGTTGGCATTATCTTCCGATGCTTCCCAAGGTAGCAACCTTGAGAGTTGAAGAAAAGAACTGTGCTATATAGTGTATGTCCATCTCTCTCAATAACACCTATCACCACATACACCTTGTATTTTCCAGCAGCTGCTGCCAGACGATCAACCTCAGGACCTGTAACAAATAGATGTAAGAGAGAAAGACAGAGGGACTGAGGGGGAGATAAGGGAAAGGATGGGAAGCTTTTGCAGGGACACGGACAAACAAACAGTACACATATGTTTAGTGAAATGTAAAAGACGTAGAATTTTTTTACGATGAGCTATATTAGCCAAGAAGTCAAGAATGAGAATTGCAATTTCATAACATGCTTGTTGATTCTCTTTATCCCAAATAAACAATTTTTAATGTGATCTGAATTTACTAGCTAAGGTCCTTTCTCCTTGTGCTGAATCTTAATATTGAATGAATACTTACAATTTTCCTCTAACCAAAAGGGCAGCCCGGTGCACAAGGCATCCCACATTTACGTAGGATCGAGGAAGGGCTACACCAAAAGGGGTGTGATTTAGACAGTCTACCCTAATGCAAGTATTAGTGGCTGCTTTCACGGCTCGAATCCTTGACTATAGGTCACACAAAGATAAATTTACCGTTGCTCCAAAGCTCCCCTTCAATTTTCCTCTAACCACAATTAACTAGAAAATGGAACTAAGTTATACTATTAAAAGATAATTTATAACTTAAAATCCTAGGAATGTGTCGCGAAATGACTGTATCATCTTCATGTATATGTTCATTCCTTTGTAAGTACTCCAGTTAGATATATTCGTTTGAATTTGAAATACAGAAATCACCACTAGTGAAAAAATTCATGGTGTTTATTTCATGGTAGAGAGTTAATTGGTCAGGAAATCAAAGAGTTTCATACCTGGCACATCAATCGCAGAAGCATTATATTTTCGAAAATCTTCCTTCCCCTTGTTTGTTTGATTCCCAATTGAGATACCAAAAGTTGATCCACGTGGATAACCACCAATAAATGCTTCAGGAAACACCACCAGCTGAGCGCCATGACGAGCCGCGTGAAAGAGCAGCATCTCAGCCTTATCTGCAAAAATGCTAAGCAATAACTTCCCCCCTTCAAGAGTTTAACAAAACCAGAAAACTTCTAGATGAAATACTAGCTCCCTAAATGCAGAAGGCACCAAACAGAATTTCAGGAACAAAACTCGATGTCTTTGCCTCCTTGCTGTTCCATGCACTAGAACAAAACCTTTGCTTTTCATGTGCAAAATACAGAGAGTGAAGAAGGCAAAAATTTATAATTTGACTTGGCTGACCAAGACATGATTGATTGAGGATAGGCACACTCTCCTAACAACATTCTAACTTTGTACTGTCATACTTTTCCCTGATAGCAACTATTAAATAATATGTAGTTCAACCTTGCATTATAATGGATCAGCTCACAGACTCTAGTCATAAACAATTAGGTATATTTGATCCTAAATCAAGAGAACCACATGGTAAAGCAAAAAATAGTTGAATATAATTGAACTTTTGAAGGAGAACAAATGAAAGTAAAGCACCGTTAACTGGAAAACTTTGAAAGAAAGATGACACGAACACCCAAGTCAGAAGCTCTTTTCTTTGATTAAGGATACACATTTAATAGGACATAATGGAAATCTTCAAATCCTTACACTAAATTTTTGAACTCCTGCTCCATTCTTTTTTCCTTTCCCATATTGAAGGTGAGAAAAACACTGTCAGATCTCATCCAAGTTTCCTACAGCTTTTTTTGCGGCTAGTGTGTCCAATGATTAAGGTGCATACAGATGCAAGGAGCTGAGACTGCAGGGGAGAACTTTTACCAGATATTGAAGACACGCATGCTTCGGAAGTAATATTCTATGTATTAAAACGATTTATAAGCAAGTTGCTGAATAGGTCCTCATGGCCTTTGTGACCCCTTGCCTTAATTGAATAGATGACGTATCTACCATCAGGATCACAACCATATCTTACCCTACAACCTTGGCATCTCCCATCACTTTATCAGAAGGAAAATTTTCAGTTGCTCTTACCTGCAGTATCATCCACTGAGAAGGGAAGATCATGGTGCCAAGTGCTCTTCCTTACATACAATTCCTCTTCTTTTTTTTTCCAGGGGATCATGATGTTTTCAACGTTGCGATATTCCATTTTTATTTTTCACAGAGATGATAGCATCATTTCTATATGTCATTCTGTTGGTGCATACAGGTGAATGGATAATGGTGAAGATGAATTGGAAAAGGTCAGAACAAAGATTGAAAACCATAAACTAAAACACATATTAAACTTTGTCGCTTCATTTGGTTAAAGATTCGTTCTGAATTTTTTTTTTGGTTCAACTGTATGTTATTCTGTACCAGCAATTTGGCAGTGGCAAGTTAGGTTTTAGGAGGGGGATGAGACAGTCCTGATGTTAGTCACTGTTAGTTTACAGCATGTATATAGTGTACCATTGTCCCACATTGGTAGAAGAGTAGTATGTCCTTGTATAGTATAGCTATAAATAAGGACCTCTTGTATTGTATTGTTCATCTAATATCAATAATATATTTTCTCCCGTGCTTTCTCACATGGTATCAGAGCAATTGTGAGAGACTTATCGCTGTGCATAAATTCCAGGGATTCCGGGAAAGAGAAATCGCTGTGCATAAATTCCAGCGATTCCGGGAAAGAGAAATCAGTACTTTTTTAAGGCTGTTTTCTATCTGCTTCATTTCTGTCAGTGTTGTGCAAAATCCAACACTACCAAAAGAGTCGTCACTGTCCGGCGACCAAACCCCAGTAAAAAACTCCGGCAGCAGCCTCCTCACGCGCCTCCACGCGCCACCAGAAGCTCACGC